TACAAAGGAATCACCTTTTTTTTTTTTTTCTTTTTTTGAGACAGTCTCGCTCTGTTGCCCAGGATGGAGTGCAATGTCATGGTCTTGGCTCACTGCCACCTCCACCTCCCAGGTTCAAGCAATTATCCTGCCTTAGGTGGACTACAGGTGCTTGGGACTACAGGTACATGCCACCACGCTCAGCTAATTTTTTTGCATTTTTAGTAGAAACAGGGTTTCACCATGCTACCCAGGATGGTCTCGACGTCCTGACCTCATGATTCACCCGCCTCAGCCTCCCAAAGTGCTGGGATTATAGGTGTAAGCCACTGTGCCCAACCAGATTGCTCTATTCTGCCTGCTAAGGAAGTATCCATTAATTACTATTTTGTTAAATGTTCTTATAAAGGAGGGGTTGGAATCTGGTCAAGTATTTTTTCAGTAATTATACAAGTAAACAAAGGATTTTTCTCCTTTATATATAACAAATATTAACAGATTTGTAGTATTTCTTCTATTTAAAAAAAATTTTTTTTTTTTTTTTTGAGATGGAGTCTCACTCTGTCCCCCAGGCTGGAGTACAATGGTACAATCTCAGCTCACTGCAATGTCCACCTCCCGGGTACAAGCAATTCTCCTATTTCAGCCTTCCAAGTAACTGGGATTGGAGGCATGTGCCACACACTGTGCCCTGCTAACTTTTGTATTTTTGTTTTAGTACAGATGGTGTTTTGCAGTGTTGGCCAGCCTGGTCTCAAACTCCTGATCTCAAGTGATCTGCCCGCCTCGACCTTCCAAAGTGCTGGCATTACAGGCATGAGCCACTCAGATTTCAACATGAGATTTGGCAAGGAGAAATATCCAAACTATATCAACAACCTTGGGTCAGAGGGGTAAAGACAAATTAAAATTACATATTTTTTTCTTAGAAAACACTATACAGTCCTCCATATTCATGGGCTCCACATCTGAGGATTCAACCAACCAAGGATCGAAAATATTTGATAGAAAACAGGCCGGGTGCGGTGGCTCAAGCCTGTAATCCCAGCACTTTGGGAGGCCGAGGCGGGTGGATCACGAGGTCAAGAGATCGAGACCATCCTGGTCAACATGGTGAAACCCCGTCTCTACTAAAAATACAAAACATTAGCTGGGCATGGTGGCGTGTGCCTGTAATCTCAGCTACTTAGGAGGTTGAGGCAGGAGAATTGCCTGAACCCAGGAGGTGGAGGTTGCAGTGAGCCGAGATCGCGCCATTGCACTCCAGCCTGGGTAACAGGAGTGAAACTCCGTCTCAAAAAAATAAAAAATAAATAAAATAAAAAATAAAAATAAAAAAAAAAATAAGAAAACAAAAAGGATGGTTGTGTCTGTACATATTTTTTGTCATTCCCTAAATAATGTAGTATAACAAATATTTATGTAGCATTTACTTTGTATTAGGTATTATAAGTAATCTAGAAATAATATATATGGTGGGATATGTGTGGATTATATGTAAATGCTACACCATTTTATATAATGAATTTGAGCATCCATGCATTTTGGTATCTGAGCAGGGCTCCTGGAACTAATCCCCCATGAATACAAAGGACAACTGTATATCAGAATCTATGGCATAACCTAAAGTGATGCTCTTAAGACAGTTCACAGCTGTAAAAACATATATTAATTTAGAAAAATGAGAATAAAGCCCCTAATTCAAAGTTAGAAAAACAATACAATAAATTTAAAAGTATGAAGGTATTGGCCAGGAGCAGTGCCTCACACCTGCAATCCCAGCAGGTGGGAGGCCGAGGTGGGTGGATCACCTGAGGTCAGGAGTTCGAGATCAGCCTGGCCAAGAAAGCAAAACTCCATCACTACTTAAAAAAAAAAAAAAAAAAGTATTAATAAATACAAATTAGAAAGTAATAAAGTAATGAGTTAAAAATAGAAAAAAAACTGGTAAGATTTAAACGAAAATAAACCAATTTCCATAGAGAAAATAGAAATTATCAAAAAAGACTAGCCACCTACCCAAGAAAAGCACCAGCCTCAGAGAGTTCCTAGAAAATCCTTCTAAACTTTTAAAAATTATACAATTCAAATGCTAGGAAAATTTCCAGATATAGAAAAAGAAGGAAACTTCCAAATTCAAACAAGAGTGAAACTCCATCTCAAAAAAAAAGAAGAAATCTGATCCCCAATGATGGAGGTGGGGCCTAGTGGGAGGTGTTTTCATCATGGGGGTAGATCCCTCATGAATGTGGACAACCTCAAGATATTACATGATTTCTCACTCTTACTTCACTTAAGATGTGACTGTTTAAAAGAGCCTGGTACCTTCCTACTCTCTTCTTTCCAGTCTTGCCATGTGAAGTCTGCTCTCCTTCCACCATGAATAGAAGCTTCGTGAAGCCCTTGCCAGAAGCAGACACTGATACCATGCTTCTTGTGTATCCTACAAAAAACTGTGAGCCAAATAAACTTCTTTATAAATTACCCAGCCTCAGGTATTCCTTTACAGCAGCACAAAATGGACTAAGACAGTTGCTAAAGAGTTTTAAATTTTCCAGGTAGAAGGAACTTTAATTTACTGATTTTTATTATTAATTTCTAGTTGTACTACCATGTGACATATTCTGCTTCATTACTTCTATGGAATCTGTCTTTCCTTGATGCCCAGTATTTAGTCAATTTTCTTCAATCTTTAAAACGTGTATTCTTCTATCACATCACACAGTAGCTACAATAAGAATTATCTCAGGCCGGGCGCGGTGGCTCAAGCCTGTAATCCCAGCACCTTGGGAGGCCGAGGCGGGTGGATCACGAGGTCAAGAGATCGAGACCATCCTGGTCAACATGGTGAAACCCCGTCTCTACTAAAACTACAAAAAATTAGCTGGGCATGGTGGTGCGTGCCTGTAATCCCAGCTACTCAGGAGGCTGGGGCAGGAGAATTGCCTGAACCC